GCGCGAAGCGCATTAGGCGCAGCAAATAAATAGATTATTATGTATAGAACGCTAATAAAATCTTTGATTTTTGCCTACCCCGCGCATTCTAATTTATTTAAGAGAAAGTAATAAGTATAGACAGGAGTAAATCAAAATTAGATTCTATTCCTATATCTCGAAATAAATAATGCGCCTATAAAAATCTTTGCGCTACGGTTATTAGGGCCCGCCCAATTTTATTAGCGTAGCCCTATCTAAGATTTTGCGCATAGCGCGTTCTTTTTTTTTTAATTTAAAAAAAAGCTGCGCGGACGCGCCTTCGAATATTCGGCTAATAAAAATCGAAGATTTTTATAATCGCGCATTCCGCGGAACATTTTACATTTAAGTTTATATTTATAACGCTGATCTATAAATAGAGGTCCTAGTTATTTGTTATACGCAATTTATTTGTTAGGGCTACGCCCCCCCGCGCAAAATTTTATTAAATTTGCCTATCGGCGGCCCGGGACGGATACATATATTTTTTTAGTTATGATTTTCTTACACCGTTTTAACTTATAAAATATCATAGAAGGCGCCTATAAAAATCTTTGCGCTACGGTTATTAGGGCCCGCCCAATTTTATTAGCGTAGCTGCGCCTATAAAAGAAAAAAGATTCTATAGGGCTACGCTTATAAAATTGGAAAAGGCGCGTACGCGCTTATAAAAATAGAGTATCATCTTGGCGCGTACGCGCAGCCGAAGATTTGTTCTTTTTTTTTATTAAAATAAAAAAAAGCTGCGCCAATAAAAATAGAATATTTTTATAAGCGCCTTCGATTTTTGCCTACGGCTAAGAAAATTTACTGCCCCTTTTTATAACCGCGGATATAATTTCTTATAAATTTCTATTATGTATTGTATATTTCTTTATTGTATGTCTAGCCCTAGTGCAGTAAATTATAAAAATTCTACTTAATATAGCTTAAGGTGTATGTTAAGTATATTGAAAAACATGTATCCTTTCGGATGCGCCTATAAAAATCGGCGCGTACGCGCGGGTTACACCGGATAATTAAGCTTGGCTATCGATCGGTATGGCGCTACGCGCGGTGTTACTGCCTCGATTACTACAGGCATGAACCCGCCGAAGGCTATACACCACAATTCTCTGAACATTATCCATAGAATACTCCTTCTCGCTCAATCAGAACTGATGTCTGATTTAGTCGTCCTGGTACATTTTACCCCCCCGCGGAATGCGCGATTATAAAAATATTGGCGCGTACGCGCAGCCGAATATTTTTCTAGGCGTAGGCGCCTTTTACTGAGCCCCATTTTCTAAGCGTAGCTGCGCTAGCGCCATCGAAGATTTTTATAACCGCCAAATTTTATAGGGCGGCGCGGGATTTTCTAATTTAAATAGTATAAATTATTCCTTCATATGGAACTCGTATCGTCCTTTATAAAGTTTAGTTGGATTCATGTATCGTTTAACTACATTAGTAGAACGTGTATTAAGCCCTAGATGATCTAGTAGTTCTGTAATAGAATTAAATTCTGTTGTAGTTCCTTCCAGTGTATCAACAAGAAGAATACTTTTACCTCGTTTAGCTGGTTTATCTTCATTATCAATTAGACTTACAGGTCCTGGTACAAATGTACCTTCATAATCAGATTCTAGGAATAGTCGCCAACGCATCCGAATCAGTTTACCAGTTTCAATATACCGAGTACGAATATTAGATGTACGGAAAGATGACGGTAGGTCTAGTGCACGCATAGCACTGCTTAGTGTACTATAATAGTACTCAATATTTTTCAGTGTATCTTTAACGATAACAGGATAACTACTAGTTAGTTGTGTTGTAACTAGATTACGAACAAAAAGAAGTAGCATAGCAGTACCACCAATTGTACAATTTGTGTAGATACGATTAATATTGTGCAGTACTGTCTTTTTACTTACACCACACACATTAGCAGCATCACCGCCACCGTGGCTACACGATTAAGATCTTTATCTAGTGCCCGCGCGTACGCGCCTCCTACAGGAATAACACTGTGATCTACACCGCCCGCGCGTACGCGCTCCCGAAGGGGCTCGGGCGCGCGTACGCGCGGGATTGAGCTATTAGCAACATAAGGAGAACCCTCTTTCATATTACCGTCAAAAACGGATACATACTCTCCAAGTGAACTAGAATATAGAGTATGGTTAGGGTAGTTAAGCAGATTAGAAATAGATCGTCCATTAATATCTAGAATAGAGCTAGCTTGTTTCAGTGAATTAAAGTAGTACTCTTCACCTGACTCTTTTCCAATAGCTTTGATAGCTTTAGAACCGCCCGCGCGTACGCGCTCCCGAAGGGGCCCGGGCATTGTCTGTAAGAAGCAGATTTGTATCCCGCCCTGCGCCTGCGCCAATTAAAATAGAAGGCGCGTCCGCGCTTATAAGCGCCTACAATTTTATAAGCGTAGCCCTATAGAATATTTTTCCTTTATAGGCGCCTTCGATTTTGCCTATCGGCCACATCATTTGAACTATTAAGACTCGGTTCAACAGCTGTAATAATTGCTTGTTCATAAGAACGCGCCACATACTGTGTAAATGTCCGTAGTACATGTTGAACTTGATAATCCTGTGCTGATACAGTAGCACCGTACTGTTGATAGAATTGTTTAAGATAATCAGGTCTCTCAATAATACAAGACCATTTAAGACTACTTGGACTATTATCTAGCATATATTTATGTACCGCGTCTTTATACATACTATTGTAGTGATTAGCCCAACGTTTACAAAAATCTGTAGCACTTCCTACATATGATTCCGAACCATCGGAATTGTAAACAATGTATACACCAGAATTCTTCTGGAATTGTGATGGTGTAAAGTTATTATTTAGTGAAAACGTAGAAGCGTTCATATCAAGTGCTTCCGTTGACAGATCAGAATACAGAATGGATGTATGACCTGTCGGGTCGACAAGAGTATGCATAAGATTTTCCGTAATAAACTTATTTAGTGGGTGATCTATAGCAAAAATGTTCGTACATTGTTCGTAGTACTTTACGAGAGGATTTCATACCGCCGTAGGCAGTATGATCCCGCCGTAGGCAATATATTCACCATTACCGTTATATTTAGTGCTAGCCCCATCTACAACATTATTAGTATCTACTTCTGAAGCTAGAATAAAAAGGGGGGATGCTTGGCTATCAATCCATGCTAGGTATTTTTCTGGTGTAACAGCTTCAATTGCTACAGGCATGAAACCATGGTAAACTCCACAGATTTCAGAACATTGTCCGTAGAATACTCCTTCACGCTCGATAAGTACAGATGTCTGATTTAGCCGACCTGGAACGGCATCAATTTTTAGTCCTAGTGATGGTACGGCAAAATCATGAATAACATCGGCTCCTGTTACAATGAACCGGATATGTGTATCAATTGGCACAACCATTCGGTTATCTACTTCAAGTAGTCGAAGCTGACCGTCTTCTAGGTCTGTCTCTGGAACCATGTATGAGTCGAATTCAATACTTTCACCGTCTTCATTAATGAAGTCAGAATATTCTGCACTCCAGTACCATTGGTGTCCTGCTACTTTAACTGTCATAGAAGGACTAATTACCTCATCCATAAGGTAAAGTAGTTTGAAACTAGGGAAAGCAATAGCAATAAGTACTAGAGCAGGTGTAATTGTCCAGATTAGCTCAATTAGAGTTCCGTGGTTAGCATATTTGTATACTAGTTGTGATTTGTTACTATTGAAGTTAATAATAACTGATGATAGTACCCACAGTACTCCGAAACAAATAAATACTAGGTAGAAGAAAATGGAATCGTGTAGTTCTGTAATTCCTTCTTGTGTTGGTGATGCACCATCTTGGAATCCTAGTTGCCAAGGTTGTGGTGCATCGTTAAAAATTGCTGTAGTAGCAACTCGAAATAGATTAAACATTTTTACAATATATTTATATAGAATTATAGCTTTGCTAACCCTATATCATTACTAAGTAATTGTTACCAATTATAGTAAGAAAATAGTATTCTATAAAACAGCGCGTAGCGCAAAAACAGCGCGTAGCGCCTCCGCCTGGGCGTAGCTGCGCCAATAAAAAATAGAATATTTTTTCCTTTATAGGCGCGATTTTATAACTACGGAATAAAAAATCGAAGGCGCGTCCGCGCAGCCTATCGGCGGGCGCGCGTAGCGCCCCTATAAAAATCGTAGGCGCTACGCGCATTCCGAAGCCCTATAACTATCGGCGGCGCTGTATTTTATAGAATAACTTTATAAGATAGAAATATAGTAATATTACTAAACTGTATATAAAGCAGCTCTTTTTAATGATTACTTAAAAATGAAAGTAAATGAAAGCGCCAATGCGCGGACGCGCCTTCTATTTTTATAGGCGCACTAAAAAATTATAGGCCGCGCAAAAATATTCGGCGCAGAGCGCGCCTATCGGCGGGCTTTTAAAGAGAAAGCAGCACAAAAAATAATGCGCTACGCGCGTAAATTTTTCCTTTCCTATAAGATAGAATAATTATTATAAACAGTTATTTTACAGTTCACCCTAAATTTAGTATTAATTATAATAAATGTATATACTCTAATTTTTATATCATACAAAACGATATAAAATATACTCTTTATCTACTGGGCCGTTAAAATCGAAGGCGCTACGGAATGCGCGGTTATAAAAATGCGCCTGCGCGTAGGCGCCTTTTACAAGTAAATTTTCTAAGCGTAGCTAATAAAAATATACGGGGCGGAGCCCTATAAGCGCGGACGCGCCTTATTTTTTATAGGCGCTAATAAAAATCTTCGATTTTTATAAGCGCGTACGGAATAAAAAATAGAATATTTTTTATAGGCGAAGATTTTTATAACCGCGCAGCCTATAAAGGAAAAATATTCGGCGCTACGCGCATTCCGTTGCGCATTTTTATAGCGCTCCGCCCACTACGGAAATTTTATGCTAATTTTCTTTTTATAAGAAGCCCCTCACTAAGTTAATTTAAGAATTAGAGGAATCGAACCTCTGTCCTCGATGTGTAAGATCGATGCTAAACCACTCAGCTAAATCCTTACTTGTATCTTTACGTATACCTATATATAAACAGCTTGTATAAAATGAAATAATAAAAAAATGCGCTACGGAATGCGCTCTGCGCCGTAGATTTTGCGCTACGGAATGCGCTCTGCGCCGTAGATTTTGCGCTACGGAATGCGCTCTGCGCCGTAGATTTTGCGCTACGGAATGCGCTCTGCGCCGTAGATTTTGCGCTACGCGCGGGGGCGTGCGCCCCATCTATTTAATATAAAAATATAAAGATTACTTATATAAAAACTGTATTTATTAATTGAAATAAATATAACCTAATACTGGATTATTTATAATCAATATTGAATGAAAGGGGGGTAAGGTGCTTAGCACCGCCCTGCTCGCGCCAATGCGCGGACGCGCCTTCGATTTTTATAGAGCCGGCGCGTACGCGCGCCTATCGGCGGGCTTGTCAATTAAGTTAATTTATTTAGTGTAGATCAATAGCATCTTTAAGGTATGATGCTGTTAGAATACAGAATACGTAGGCGCGCGTACGCGCCGAATGAAACTGCAATTTCTAGTCCGCGATAAAGATACTGAATGGGATTAGAGTAATAACAGCTGTAATAGCACCTGATGTGAACATTGGAGCTAGGAATCCTGAAAGGATTTTAAGTAGAGTGTTATTTGAACATTTTACCATTAAACATGGGGTCTAGTTCGGGGTTTCAAAATTCTTTGGAATCATCCGTTTGCTTTTCTTCTACTTCACAAGGTTCAAGAGGAACGATAAACCAAATTTTTTTGTATGGTTTACCGCCCTCTAGATATTTTTGTTTCCAATTGTGTCCATTTCTATACACATCAAAGTATCGTAGAATATCAGCTAGAGAATTGAAATTTTTATGAAGAATTTTTTCATTTGTTTCACTATCAAATTTAAGTAGTTGATAAGAATTTGATAGAACCTGAGGAGTGTCAGGATTTTTTAGAAGATGGGGCGCACAGTTTTGAGAATTCTCCTGTACCTGATAGTTCGTAATATGTATTAATATATCTTCTAACTCTTTTAGGATTACTATACCCAATGTATCTAGCAGCTTCTTGAGAATTATTAAATTCAGGGCCTACTTGTTTTAGAGTAGTACTATCAATCAGAATATATTTACCGGTAGAAATAGAATGAATATCAAAATGATCAGGGTCCGCTCTCGAGAAGGCGCTACGCGCGGACCTGGGAGTCGTACTGATTCATCTTGGAAAATTGCAACGTGTTTATTCATAGTAGGTGCTATAATATAATGTGGTGGTGTAATATTTACACTTCTTGTAAAAGTTCTACTATGAATACCTGAAGCACTAATAGCTTCTCTTTGTGAATTAAAAAAAGAAACATTACCCCAAGAAGTTATACCGAACTTATCTTGGAAGGCGGTAGGAGACCGCGCGTAGCGCCTATAATCAAAGATAACACCTTTGTCAGAGTTCCAAGAAGGAAGACGGTAAGCATGAATAGACTGTTCAACCATACGTACTTTATGTTTACTATAATGTCCTAGGATATTAGAATAAACAGGTGTATCAATAGCAGGAATACTATATTTGGATATATAATCTTTAATAATATTAGCAGTACTATATAGAAGACCCCATTTTAGATTGGAGATACCACCAATTTTTAGAACATTACGTGCAAAAGACAGATCTTCTCTAGGTAGATTTTTCATAAGACGATCTACATTCTTGTAATAATTCTCCATTCTGTTTTCAATATTAATACTAGATCCAACATTTACCATACAATTTTCCATATTGGTGAAAGAGTATACAACAGATTTATTCTTGAAATCTGAAAATGGTCGAAAATGTCTTCTAGATTGGATAGATTCGCATAATTAGAGATAGAAGCTGGTTCAATAGATGATTTTAGAATACCAGTATTGTTGCGCTACGCGCGGTTTAACAAGAATATCAGAACAATTTTCAATAAGGGCGCCAATAAAAATCTTCGGCGCGGGGGGCTGCGCCCGCCCGCGCTATGCGCAAAATATTCGGCTGCGCGTACGGAATAAAAAATAGAATATGGCGCTTATAAAAATATTCTGCGCGGACGCGCATTGGCGCAGGCGAAGATTTTTATAACCGCGCATTCCGGCGTAGCCGCGCAAAATCGGGCGTAGCTAATAAAAATCTACGCTTCGATTTTTATAAGCGCGGACGCGCCTTCGATTTTTATAACCCGCGCGAAGCGCCCCGCAGTAAATTTTATTAGCGCGGCTAGATGAAAATTCTTTTTATTTTTCTTTTTATTTTTCTTACAAAAAATCTAGCATTTTATTTAGTGCCTCTCGACTTTTATCTACATTCTTACAGTTATACCAAGGAATATAAGATTCGTTAGAAATAATAACAGTTTTATTACTAATATCCATACCATTTTCATCTTCTTGACAGTAAATAATTTTAAGAAGAGAAAACGGAGAATTAGGAAGATACTCGGAAAAATAAAGAAAATTAGAAGCGCCTATAAAAATCTTCGGCGCGGCTACGCTGCGCATAGCGCGGGCGCGCGTAGCGCCCCACTAGTAAAAGGCGCCTACGCGCAGGCGCGGATGGGGGCGTAGCCCTATAAAAATTCTTTACTAGCCGCGCGTAGCTAATAAAAATATACGATTTTTATAAGCGCGGAGCGCAAAATAATCAAAACAAAGAATGCGCTACGCGCGTAATAAGAAATAGATGCGCTACGCGCGGGATTATATAGCAGCGGGCTCCGCCCACCCATAGAGATTCTCATTACATATGAACCATACATCATTTTATATTGTGCTATTCTTGTAAAAAGTACAAGAATAATTACAAAAATAAAAAGAATGCGCCTGCGCCAATGCGCGTCCGCGCAGAATATTTTTATAAGCGCCGAAGATTTTTGCGGCGCGGAATTATAGCATTTTCATCACTAAAGTAAGTATAGTTAACATCACATTTGATAGAATATACATAAGAAGTATAAACATTAAAGATTACGAAAACCATGAAACCAAATAGATGAAAATAAGATACTACTAGAAGTACTACAATTATAAAATTGTTAATGATTCTAGTAATACTAGTTAGGGTTCGTCATTTTTAAATTAATAATTAAGTTCATAGTACATATTGTAACTATTATGTAGACATTAAAATTGTATAGAAAATTGGATAATTCTACAGATTTCTTTTGCGCTACGCGCGACTAACTTTTAAGCTGAAATTAAAATAAAACCTTTTGTATAAGAACGAGATATAACTTAATGGTAGAGTAGTTCACTTCTAATGAATTTGTATTGGTTCGACTCCGCATCTTCTTTTTATACCCGCGCTATTAAAATCGTATTGATTTTTTGCGCGTAGCGCGGGGGATTATTTAGTATGATTACTATTATTAAAAATTAGGATAACCCGCGAAAAATAAAGTAGGATAACTTGAATTGAATATTACATATCGTCAAATTACAGGCTTCGTAGCTTAGTATGTGAATACGGAAGAATAGAAATGTTTCCACCGCGCTTTCTTACACGCATCCGTGTTGCAGGGTCTTTTCTAAATAGATGTTTATAACACGTTCTGGAAATATGTGTTGTAAACTCTGAATGATAAATAGATGAATTTTTATCACGGTCCAATAATTATAAAACCTGAAGTAGTTTTACTAGTATTACGATTAGGCTTACCATACTTTTCAATTCCGCGCGGCTGGGCGTAGCCCTGCGCCGGGCGAAGCCCTGCGCGGACGCGCCTTATTTTTGCGCTAACGGGGGCGTAGCCCTATAGAATATGGCGCTTATAAAAATATTCTATTTTTATTGGCGCAGGCGCCGATTTTTATAACCCGATTTTTATAACCGCGCATTAGCCGAAGATTTTTATAGGCGCTTTCATTTGACTATTCTCTTTTTTAGCCCAAGCCCAAGGGAATCTCATAACCTCAATTTCTTTCAGGTCGCGCGTAGCGCAAAATAAATGAGTAGAGAATTGAAACAAATTCGTGAGGACTAATCGTAGTATCAAAGTTATTAATGATACTAGTAAAAATTTGGATCCCGCCGAAGGCGTATAGAAGATGAATTTCTCTCTATTCTTGTATACTGTACCGATCCCACCAGGAAGCGAAGCCCCCTCTTTGATGATTTACTTACAAACTTTTTGATAAAAGATTGATTGGCAATTAGTACTTTTGTTACTAGAATCATTCTAGCTTTAGTAAAACCTCTGCTCATTTAATGTAGATCAATAGCATCTTTAAGGTAAGAACATGTTAGAACACAGAATACATAAGCTTGAATAAATGAAACTGCAATTTCTAGACCAATAATACCCGTAAAAATGATAAATGGTAGAACAGTTAGTACTGAAACAATAAAAGTAGAAGTAAATAGAGGAGCCAGGAATCCTGCAAGAATTTTCATTAGAACGTGACCTGCTGTAACGTTGGCGAATAGTCGAACTCCAAGTGAGAAAGCTCGTGCTAGGTATGAAATTAGCTCAATAGGTACTAGTAGAGGTACTAGTCCTAGAGGTGTTCCTGAAGGAACGAAGAATGAGAAGAAGTGTACTTTGTGTAGTTGTAGACCAAGAATTGTAACTCCGATGAAGATTGTCATACTTAGACCAATACTTACCATAATTGATGTAGCTACTGTAAATCCGTATGGTACGTTACCACTTAGGTTTGCAATAAGGATAAAGAAGAATAGAGAGTAAATAAATGGTAGGTACATTTCGTTAGCTGCACCAATTTGTGATTTAACTAGTCCATGTACAGAAGCAAAACTACTTTCTAGTGAGATACTCCATCGACTTGGAATTAGTTGTTTGTTGTTACTTCCCATAATGTGAAGTGCTAGTACTAGATATACTGTTAGAATTGTATATAGTCCTAGGTTTGTTAGACTTAGATTAATGTATCCAAGTACAGGTAGGTTTAGAGAAATAAGACTAGTTACTTCAAATTGCTCTAGTGGTGAATGAATTAGGAATGTCATTGCATAAAATAAGATGAATTGGATTATTACTTAATGTTTTAATGCCGCGCTACGCGCGCGGGCGGGCGAAGCCCCCTTAATGAAATTTATGCGCTGGCGCCTTGAAATCATATAAGACGTGAAACACGCACCCGCGCGTAGCGCTATAATAATATTCTATTATTCCGCGCCTGGGCGTAGCCCCTATCTTTGCGCATAGCGCGGGCGCCCCCCTTCTTTTTGTCGCTAATATAATCGAAGATTATATAAAGCGCATTCTAATTTTTTATAGCCAGCCTATAAAAAGCGCTCTGCGCCGGCGCGTACGCGCGCTCTTTTTTTTTAATAAAAAAAAAAGAAGGCGCGGATTCTTAACTAAGATATTTGATAACCTATTTATTATAATATATCAGTAAATCTATTTTCTAATAGGGCTCTTTATATATAAAAAAAAAATGGTTAGTTCGAGTAAATATATAATTTTATAAAAGATGTTAAGTGGAGACTCTTATAAAAAAGTCTTTTTTAGTATTTATTAGAAGGCGCCGAAGGCATCTTCGATTTCGTTCTTTTTGTATGAAATAGCGCATTAAAAAATAAAGAAGGGCGCGGTACGGAACCCAATATCATAAAGTAATTTGCTTTATGATATTCTTTAATTACAGTTTAGTAATGTACATTCGTGAAACAAATAGTTCTACAAATGCTGGTAGGATGTATTTAGAAAATACGAATAGTAGTACAAATAGTCCTAGGAAAGCAAATGAAATTTGATTTACGAAGTAAAAAGGTAGTAGTTGAGGCATTATTTTTGGTTAAATAAAAAAGTTCCTAACTAGAAGACTTTCACGTTTATAATCTATTTTTATGGGAGCGCCTGCGCGGACGCGCCTTCGATTTCGTTCTTTTTTTTTTATTGCGCTAACGCGCGGCGCTTACGCGCGGGCGCGCATAAAATTTTAGTAATAATACTGCTCCCCGTATAGATATAATGTATATATAAAAATATTCTACTGGAACTGTTAGTACTTATTTATATAAATAAGTATACTTTTCTTAGTAATATTACAATTATGGCTAGTTGTAATCCAATATTACTAGAAAATAGGAAACAAAAGATAGTAGAGGCCGCGCTACGCGCGCCGCTCTATATTTTATTGATATAAAGTAGAGTACATAATAGTTAGTAAAATCGCGCCTATAAAAAATAAGGCGCGTCCGCGCAGGGCTTCGCCCGGCGCATTTTCTTTTCTAAAAATAGCAATGGCTTATAAAATCGAAGATTTTGCGCTAACGCGCGGGCCGAAGCAATATTGCTTTTATAGTTAATTACGCGCCGCCCTGTTTCCCGAAGGGAGGGCTTCGCCCGGGCGCGCTCTGCGCCGAAGATTTCGTTCTTTTTTTATTAATAAAAAAAGAAGGGCGCTTATTAAAAAGGGGAAAGCTAAAAGCGTCTATCACTCTTTTTATAATTTAATATAAAAAATTATGATTGTACTGGTAGCATGTTGAAACTATGGAATGGTGTTGGTGATTCTAGAGCCCATTCTAGTGAAGAAGCTGTGTGGCTTTCCATCCAGAACTCTGGAGTACTTTGGAAGAATGCTGGCACAGCCCATGGGTTAGCATCTACTGGTTTACCATTTACAAGGATATCGTAAATAATGTAACCGAATAGTGCAGTAGCAACTACTGATACTAGACTACCGAAACTACTAATAGCGTTCCATGCAGCAAATGCATCAGGGTAATCAGGAATCCGTCGAGGCATACCAGCTAGACCCAGCCAATGTTGCGGAAAAAAAGTAAGGTTTACTCCTACAAATAGTGTCCAGAAGTGGATTCGTCCTAGGTTTTCATTAAATGTTTTACCAATGATTTTTGGTGTCCAGAAGTAGAATGCACCAAATAGAGCAAATACTGCTCCCATTGATAGAACGTAATGGAAATGGCTTACAACATAGTATGTCATTAAATCAGTAATAAAAGGATAGGTCTTTAGATAAAAACCATGATATAGAATATCCTTATTTAGTCGACGTCCTATGGTAGCCTTATTCTCAAATTTACGCCCTGTAAGATCAAAAGTACACTTTTCTTTTGATGTTCATTGGCGATACTCTTTTGTTGTTGGATTATACCCGCGCGAAGCGCAATCATTTTACCTGTTAGGGCATTAGAATTACGTGGTACCGTTACAGGTTTAATAGGTAGAGGCCTTACGGCGGGAAAGAAAGTTCAAGGATACTTGGTTCAATAAGTGTTATAGTAATAATATAAGAAGTATATCGAATACCTACAACTCCTATTGATACTATTAGTTTAGCTAGATTTGTTCCAAACTTTATGTGACTATTAAAAAAAACAGCTAGTTTAGAAGCACTTTCAAATTTATATGGCGCTGCGCGCAGTGTAAAATTATCAGAATATACATAGAATTTATAAGTACCACGGGCTTTAGACCGCGCGTAGCGCCTATTATTTTGTTCAGAATGAACATTCAGCCAAGCGTGGGATTTATCACCTGTTTTCCGATAAGAAGGATTTTTCTCTCCAACATTTACTTTGTTTATTGAACGTTTATAAGCAGCAGAACTAGCTGTTCGATTAATATTATAAATAAAAGTATAGTTATCTAGAAGATATTGTTCTAGTTCAATATAATCAGGATGGTTCTCTTTTGAATAATTCTCTAGATTTTCAATAGAAGGACCTAGTATTTTTAGGGCGCCAATAAAAAATAGAATATTTTTTATAGGCGCAGTGTAAAGTTATTATAACCATATTTAAGTAGTGCTTTACAAATAGAACTACCACGAAGACTCTGATCCATAAGATAACTAATTATAAAATAATCCTTAAGTCGTACACCAAGATTCTTAGAACTACCAACATACTGTTTTCCATTAATTTTGTTCGTGAAAACATAAATACCACGGAACCCGAAATATTTTTTTTTGATCTCCCGCCGAAGGCCCATCTATATTATTTACTGAAAAATGGAAAGTTTCAGTAAAATTTCCTTGGTTTGTACTTAGAATAATACTATAAGAACATGATACAACACAATTTATAAAAGAGTCGGAATAAGGAGCTACAACATAGTAGGTCAATTAATATTTAATGTCTAATAAAGTAATTAGACAGAGCATCTACCTTCGCAGATAGGGTCGGACCATATCTTACATAGGAGAGAGACGGATCTCATAAACCTATGCAACCACGTGTGGCCTCTACGGAGTCTCTTCTTATAATAAGAAGAGTTCCCACGGTATTATCTTATTCTCTTTAATTTTCTATTGCACTAAATAGATCAAATAAGACTTCACCGTTAGCATCTTTAAAAT